TCTCATAGCACAGATGTTGTTTACAAAATTAAGAGAACGAAAAGCGAATGTCCGGCCGGAGCTTAAACCGGGTTGGTGAATATGCAGAACTTATAAAACTCTGATTACAAACCATTAGTGTACATCAGGTTCTAGCATACTGATGGATAAAATGGCCTATGAACCTCTTGTTAGTGACCGGCTACTATGGAAGTGCATTTCCTTACATTGTCCGATTGTCTTGTGGATTTGACATCTAGTTCAAAGTCAGTCAGTCAACAACATAGAACTTCGTACGTATGTACCATCAGTTCAAATTGCGATATCACATTAGCACAAAAATGAAATTTTCACTTCAAATCCCAAAGTAGTAGAGGCAATATAAGTAAGAGCGGAAATGAAGATTAGGGTCCGAAGATAGTATTCAAGAAGTATAATTCAGTGAAATAAATTTAGAAATAGAAAGATAAAGGTGATGAGGAATTCAAATGGTTAGGATTTGAGAGAACCCAAAGAAGGAATGCATCTGTGCCATTGCAAACGGTTTCGAAGCATGTCATTCAGGGTCTCTAATCATTGATTACTATCATCTTGCGAGCCCCAACCAGGTTGTCGACACCCTACCGACATGACTCAGTCCACATGTCAGCGATTTCACGGATTTTTGTCATGTTTAGGTTTGGCCACCCCTAGCTTTCTTCCAGCCTACTCCTACATCACAAAACATCGCTCGTTGGGGCAGTCCGTAGTTGGGCATATGTAATGCATGTCCCAACCACCTCAACTGATGGATTCCCACTACTTTATCAATTGATCTGCCATCTTTACCTAGTACTCTTTTCCTAACGACAGCATTGCTTACTCAGTTGTCCCAGGATATACCAGGAATGCTTCGGAGATACCTATTATCAAAGACAAGTAACCTACGAATCTCCTCTATATTGAGACAGTCCGCAGTCAACCATGACTGATCAAAATTTCAGTCGAAAAAATTTATTCATCAACAATGAGAGATAATCTAAAATCATTACAAATTGAATTCGATGTTTATAATTATTCCAATCAGTATTTAGATAATTGAAACTTGAATTTCTCCTTCAAAGAAGTTTTTTAACACGAATAATGTGTTGGTCTTAACAATCTAGGAGCGTGACCGCAGAGCCCAAGAGACAATTGCTTGAGGCCGCTCACTCACGACCTTTTTATGGGAAGTTAACGTCTTACTTCCGCTTTTCAAACGGCCTTACCTCCAGAGACGGAAATCCGTGGGGTAAGGTGAGGTATAACATTCTTAGGGTCAACCTATTCTAACTCCTTCCTTCCTTGTGAGAAGGCAGCATCGTTGCAAATGCTAGTTTTCCGAGGGAAACACTTCGCATGGCATGGTAGAACCTACAAGAACATATGTACCAGCCAATATAGTTCGGTATGGCAACTTGAACTGATGTATGTATGTACGTACGTACGTACAAAATTCAACGTTGTTGCTGACTGACTGAATACACACGCATACACACACAAACCGTATAACTCAATCAATATTCAATAGATGTAATATTCGCATCTTAGAAAAATAGATACACACTTCACTTACTTTTACGTGGAGTTTTTATTCGTTTCGGACTATGCATCAATTGTATTGATGTTGTTGTTGTTGCATAATGATGCTGTTGGGGATGATGAGTATTGGAAAATGAAATTTTATTGGCTAGTAAATTTGAATTACGACGTAATAAACGTGGCGGTGTTGAATTCGACATCATCATCATCATCATCATATCATTTCTATCATGTAATGGTGAATCAGATTGAATATTAGACAGCTGTGTTGAGAATTGACTTAAACTAGCCTCCTCTTCCAATTGACGTCGCCGCCAACGTTCAGCACGTGACATTGCCACTGATAAACATGAATCTTTAGGTTGTGATATATCACGAGTCAAGAGATGATGGTTATTATCAGCAGCATCATCATTGTCGGAATTCAATGGTAGACTAGAACTATTACTTAATAATGTTGGAAGGCCACCGCCAACAGCGCCGCCGCCGACACCGTGAGTTTGAGCTGTCATATTGGCAGCTTCTTGTGCTTCTATATACAAAAGACTATTAAGCATGGAATTCGCTCGACGTAATCGACGTAATGGACTGATTGTTGTTAGTAATGGTTTTATTGGTGATTCATCGACAATAATTGCCTATTGATGGAGAGAAACGAAAACAGTTAAATAAGTAGCCTATTTAGTGTTTGACACAATGAAACTGTGATACAAATAGTGTGTGTGGTATAACATTGGCAATTAGACGATAATGATAAAGATTTGAAATCATCAATCAATCATTGTTAGACCACCATTAGAAACCTGGAAGCACTGAAAGACGGCCGTTTCGTCCTGGTATGCGACTCATCAGTGGCAGTGCGCATCCACGACTCCTGCTCCTCGCAGGATTCGAACCCGGGAACTTCGGTATTGTGCGCGAACGCCTAACCATCGGACCACTGGGCCGGCATCCAACGGTGTTAATGTCTAACCTTTATTGATCTACGGATTTTGCGCAACCTCACCTATTTGTCTTTGGTAGTTACTGCCTACACCCGACAGGGTTGAACTCCATTGGTCACGTCTTCTCAACTAGAACTCCGAGAATTTCCTCATAAGCCCTCTCTTTTAAATTTTGATAGAATGATGCGAAGACAGAGTTGATCTGACCAAACTGCTGCTAACCAATCTCGTATGCAGTTACAGGTATGACGGCGGATGTCACTTCCCGGCTGCCCACATCGTGGAAGGGTGTTTCTTGAGGAATCTGAAAGGGAAGTTCGATTAGTGTTGGCTTTAAAAACCTGAGAGCGTGACGGCAGAGATCGAGGGACAACCGGCTTGAGGTCAGTCACACACGGCCTTTTTATGAGGTTTTTAAAGTGGTAGCTCCGCTCTTGTTCAAAAGGTCTCACCACCAGAGACAGAAATCCATGAGGTGAGGTGGGATGTGACATTTTTAGGATCGACCTTTTCCAACTCCTTCCCCCCGTTGTAAGAAGGCAGAATTACTGCTGATGCTGGTTGTCTGAGGGAAACTCCTTCCTGCTGTCACACCTCTCCACAGTCAGCAGTAAGACTTCGCCCTCATACCTTAAGTTGCTGGTTTCGGTCTTACCGTTCTGCCTGGCATGGTAGAACCTGCAGAAACATATTTTTCAGCCAAGATAGCTCGGTTAGGTCACCACGATATGCAAGCCCGAGCACCATGTCAAGGTAGCAGCTACGGTCGGGGATTGGCAATCGGTATCCGCAGGTATGGCATATGCTTTGCACCTTCAAAGTGCAATGTACTTCTAAAAGAATGGCAGGACCCTGAACCTGCACTCACTCTTGGTAGTGAGCAGATAGAACTAGTCGAGAAGTTCATGTAACTGGGTAGCTGTGTAAATGCTGGGGTGGATGTGAGCGATACAGATTGATTCACGTGTAGTAAAGGTCAGAGTGACTTATGCCAATCTGGACCATCCTTGGCGTGTTCGTAATACTAGTTTGGGAGTAAAAGGCTGGGTCTATAGTGTGTTGATGAGAGCAATTTTGCTCTATGCTTGTGAAACCTAGTCCCTCTGATTTAAAGATATTAGAAAGTTTTAATATGTTCGATGACCACTGCCTCCGAAGGATTGCTGACATTCAGTGGCGACACGGTGTTAGTAAGACCGAGGGACAGCAACGTGTTTGTTGGGCACAGCAAAGATAATTCAATTGGTGTCACTATTTTGAGACACCGACTTCGATAGCCAGTTTTCCCAGCGGATTCAACATCGTGTACTATTTATCAACGCTAGGGTTGATTGGAAAAAGCGGAGAGGTGGATAAGTATCTGACATGGTGTCACAGTATGAAACAAAACTGTACAGAACTGGCATCTATTGGTCCTTTACGATTCTCTGGTTGAGGTCCTACAGATGGTACAGCTCAGTAAGTGGCTTGAAATGTTAGTTAGTCAGTTGCAACGTAGAACTTCGTACGTAAGTACATCAGTTCATGTCGCCATACCACATCAGCACAGAGATATAATTGTCAATTAAAATTCAATAGTAGTAGAGGTAGTAAGGAAATTATAAGTAATCGGAGAGGTTAAGATGAGAAGATATTATTCAACAAGTATGATTAAATGAGAAAAGTTTAGAGAGTCGGAACTAGAGGTGTTGAAGAACCCAGAAGATTAGGATTTGAAAGAACACAAAGAATAAATGCACCGGCGCCATTGCGAACGATTTTGAGCCATGTCATTCAAGGTCTCTAACCATCGATTATTACCATCTCGCGGACCCCAACCAGGTAGTCGACAATTACCGACATGACTCAGTCCACTAGTCAATGACTTCATGGATTTCTGCCATGTTTTGGTTTGGCCGCCCCTAACTTTCTTCCAACCTATTCCTACACTACAAAACAAAGCTCGACGAGGCAGTCGGTGGTTGGGCATACGTAGTACATGTCCCAACCACCTCAACTGCTGAAGTTTCATTACCTCATCTATTGATCTGTCATTCTTACCTGGCACCCGATTCCTAATAACAGCGTTGCTCACTCGGGTGTCCCAGGATATAAGAGCAATACTTCGAAGACACCTATGATCGAAAACCAGCAACCTCCTAATATCCTTTACTCTGAGTGACCATGTTTTCAAACCATAAAGTAAGACGGAGCGAACTACTGCGCAGTACACTCGTCCTTTAGTCAGCAAACGGATATCTCGCCTACGCCATAAGTGACGCAGGTTGGCAAAAGCCAATCGAGCCTTCTGTATCCGAGCTGAGATTTCGTCAGTCACCTGGTCATCGGCACTGATGAGAATCCCGAGGTAGGTGAAGCGGTCTACACGCTCAACTACTTCACTCCCTATCACTAGTTCAGGTGCCGATGCAACCCAATCTTGAAGCAACATTTTGCATTTCGAGGGGGAAAACCGCATCCCGAACATGCTTGCATTGTTGCTTAGGGTAGTCAGAAGACTCTGCATTTTGTCAGCGTCTTCACCAAGTAGGACTATGTCATCGGCATATTCTAAGTCAATAAGCGAGCCGCCTGGTAAAAGGTATACTCCAGAAAATTCAGACGAGGATAAGGTTATTTCTAGGAGCATGTCTATGATAAAATTAAACAAGAATGGAGA